GAGCGGTCCTGGAGGGAACGCTCCGCAGAAACCCGCCGTGCTGGGGCTGAGCTCAGCTGGGCTGCCCAGGACGGGGTCTGAGCCCCCTTCACTGCCCAACCTGCCGGGGTGAATTGTTTAAACACTTTTGAACTATTTGATCCCAGTTCTCCTTTTTCCACAAATGCCCTACCTGAATTCCTGCCGCAGGGAGACGCTGCCTTGGACCCTCCTTCCCAAATCCCACTCGGCCTTGGTGCTTTGCAAAACATTAATGAAGTAAAACTTGCAGCAGCTCTGGGAGGCCAGGGAGCCTCAGCTGGGTTTTGTGCAGAGAGGAGCTGCCAAGGGGGTCGTGCTCAGCCTTCCGCCCCCTCATCCTCATCCCGGTAGCAGGACGCACGTGCGCACGGGGCCGCGCGTGTGCGCTCCGGGAACCCTCTCCCACGCAGCTTTGTCAGGCAGCGCACGGGAGAGCGCAGGGCTGGCAGCAGCCTCTGGGAATCGGGATCGTCTCCTTGGTCGCGGCAGCTCCGGGGCTGCTCCGTGCTGCGGTGACGAGGGAGGGGTGTCCTCAGCTCCCTGCCCGTGTCCCAGCACCGGGGCAGGGCAGACACCCTTTGCTGGCGCCCCAGGTGGAGCTCTCTGCCCCCATGGAGCACCGGTGCTATGGGACAAGCAGGGCTTCGGGGAACAAATGACACCGGGGGTTTTGCCCACATCCCGTCTTGAGGGAGCCAGTCCTGGCTTGGTCTGCAACCCCACAGGAAGCCCAGGCCACGTCAGTCCCTGCTCCTCCTCACTGTGCGGGTGCCCTGGGAGGCTGGGCACAGAGCTTGAGCTGAGCCAGCCTCACGGCTGGCGCGGGGCTTCGTCAAGGCGCTTCCTCGTGGCCACGGTGGGGCTTCCTCGCGGCAGCAGCTCTGCTGCGCTCACATTAATTCTCAGCCCTCAGCAGGGAGCAGGCAGGAATTTGGCCATGGCCCCAGAGAAGAATTTGGCTTCGGGAAGACCTGAGGGCTCCAGACCAGCCTCCTGCCCACGACCAGGTCTGCTCAGGAACCCGCTGCTTTGGGCAATCCCCTGCCCCAGGCAAGGGGCCTTTCCTTTCACCAGTCCCAGCCTGGAAGAAGCGTTTGGCCCCGGTGCAGCAGGAACTGTCCCACATGGCCCCAGGCTGCTGCTGTTGGACACCCCTCGGCTTCCCCTTGGACCAAACCAGCCCCAGCTGCCTCCTCCCCTCCCTGCAGGCCCTGGGGGCCCCGTGGCCTCCACGGGGCTCCTCAGCTCTGTCCCTCTGTGCGTGGGCAGCCCTGGACACTACCCGCACGTGGCCTCCACCCCGCTGAGCAGAGGGGCGAGAGCCTTCCTCAACCCGGTGACCACACTGCTGCGTGTCACCCATGACGGGTGTCACCCAGGGCCGCGCTAGGTGATTAGAGCCACTGCAGACGCTTATCCAACCCCATGTCTGCTCAGCCCCAGCTGCTCCCCAGCTTCTGCCCAACTTGCACCATTTTGCTTCACGTTATTTTGAGTTAGCTCAGGCCACCACACAACTTCTACCCAGCCCACAGCATCACTTCCTTTTATTCCAAAGTTTAAAAGACAGATAAAAATATCACAATTTAAAAACAGTTACAATCACCTGCAGCTACCCCCAAAACCATCCAACACAACCCCAAACCATAAGAAGAGCAACACCCCTCACAGGGGCCTCCAAAGGATAGGAGGAACGAGCTGGGCTTTCTGCAGCTGGAAACGCAGAGCGCGGGGGATTCCCAGCCTCGCTCCTGGCGAGGGAGCCTCTTGTCAGCAGCCTGGGACCGAGTTAAAGAACAAGGCTACCAGGTATAGACGTTACCAACCTGGAGGGAAGATCCCAGCCCTTCTCCAGATGGCTCCTTGGTGAGCTTGGTGAAGTTTCAGGCCTTGGCTGACTGCAGGAGAAGGGAGTTTTCACCCATGCTGCCATGGCTGAGCTCAAGAGCACGATGTTCGTGTCACTTATCTAGTGAAAGAGAGCCACTAAGAATAGCTGGGACTTTCCAGTCATTTCATGGTTTCTGCGGAGGGCCCTGAAACAGCTTGAGGTGGTTTTAACTAGCGCAGTCACCAAGAGAGATGTCAGACACCGGGGAAGAGGTTCCTTTGCTCTCCGTGCAGCCCCAGCAGGTCTGGTTGTCTCTGCCCGCCCAGTTCAGCTCTGGTTTCCACTTCAGCACCGAGCAGAGCTGGGGCTCGAAGCCGCTGTCCCTCAGGGGGGCACATGTCCTTGGGAGCAGGTCCGTGTCCACAGGCAGGATCCTGCTGCCCCGGACACCCATGAACGTGGAGAGCAGCCGAATGCCCCAGTGCGAGTCAGCCCCTGCACTGGGAGGGAGCCGGGGGCAGGGAGTCCACTCCCCGCTCTGGCCCGGGAGATCAGCTAGTTGAGGGGCGACTTTCTGTGCTGCTCTGACACACAGCGAGCAGCAACATCCAGCTTGAGGTATGGGCGGCTGGCGAGCAGGACGGCTCAGCCGGGAGGCCCGGCCCTCCTGCCCACAAGCAGCTACACTCTGCAGCCCCCTCTGCAGCACCCAAACCTGCAGAAGCAGCTCCAAGGGAAGGGGGCTGCGCTGCTGCGTCCCCAGGGTCCCTGCACGGGCACAGCTTCGGAGCAGGGAGGCTACGAGGTCTGCAGGAGGGCTCTGGGCACACGGAGAAGCTGCCAGCCCCGCGCCCTGCATCCCCCACAGCCGCCTGCCCGTATGGGCAGCATTCACCACCCAGCTCCAGCCGGGGCTTCTTGTCCACCCGGCTGCCCTGGCTGCAGAGCCGGCGCTTCCCGGCTGGGGACAGCTCCTGCAGAAGGTGGCCGACAGGCCCCAGCATTTGCTGTTTCTGAGGTTCAGACAAAGCAATTGATGTTCTGACCTGAGCAGCTTCTACAGGAGACTCCTGACCCAGGCCAGAAGCCTCGTCTGAATCCGTGTCCACCACCATGACAGATCCGTCCGTGGTGCCCTGCACAGCACAGAGTCCCCTGAGTCCTGCTCCAGCAGGAAGCCCCGCAGAGCAGCCCCCAGATAATCCCCTTTGCTTTCCGAGATTCCTAACCCTGTTGCTGGGCAGGTGAGTGGAACATTCCTTCATCTTGAGGCCAGGATCAGTGTCTGCATCAACAGCCAGTTGCACAGGAGCCTGCTGGCTCTGCCTCCCCGGCTCGGCTGTCAGCATCTCATTTCCTCTGGTAACTTGTGCTCGAGGCATTAAGTGTTCATCTGTCAAGCAGGACCACGGCACCCTGAGAAGAAGCATCAGTTAACGCTCGCTCTGTAGCCTCAGGAGCTTCTCTTTCCCCCAGGAAGACAAAGCATTTTCTGCAGTGCAGGTTGTTTGAGGCCCTTTCTTGGGAAGGAAGTTTAGACAGGTTCTCTCCTGATACCACTGCTGGCAGAGATGACAGCCAGATCTTTCAGACTCCTTGACACAGGAGCACTAGAGGGCATCAGGGCTGGTGGCAGACATGGGGACAGAAGGGCCCCGCTGTTCCTTTCAGTTTAAAAGGTCCTAGGGAGTCTGAAAACCCACTGGGAGCCTCATGAAGTAGAGAACCCCCAAACTCCACTCAGAGGGGCACTTCCCACAGCTTGCCCGAGCCCTGCCTGGCAGCACCAGGCTGCACGGTACCAGGACAGCCCAGGCCCTCTGCTCCCTGCGAGCAGATTTCCTGGCATGGGGCACGACGCAGGCACCAGGACATTCAGCTCCTTGGCTGTGACCAGGCCACAGGACAGCACATGGCCTTGCTGCTCCACAAGTTAGCGGCTACATCAAGACTTACTTGGCCGACTGCTCCACAAAGTCCTTGCTGAGCTGTGAGATAATGTCATCCACGGGGGCATACTGAGAGTCATCCAGTGCAAAGCGCTTGTGCTGGAGGCTCTGGAGATGCTGGAAGGTGGCAAAGGCCTTTTTAGCAACACTCACACTCTCGCCAGAGGGAAATTCGCAGCAACACCCACCTCCCACGGCCCAGCAGAGTAGAGGGCAAAGTCTCTACACCAGAGAGCGTTGCCTACGTTTCCCAAATCTGCTTCCAAACAGCAGCCCTGTTACCCCAGGATGCTTATAGCGAACGTTCTGTTCCCACAGACGCCTGCTGATGAGGAGGTTGTGTCTGTACCCAACAGCAGCCCACGGCTTTCCCCAGCAGCTAAAAAACGCAGACTCCAAATGTAGTGTCTATCACTAAAGACTGGGCATCTTGTGGCAGATTAAACCCCCCCTCCTGCTTTTTAAAATCAGCCTATGGCACCCGCTTGCCATGGAATAAGGCTTCCCACCTTGCAGCCCAGGTCCTCCAGGCTTTCCTATCACCAGAGTCACCACGTGTCACGCTCGGCTCCGCAAAACCGCTGCCTGCAGAGCACGAGGCCCGAGCACGGCTGAACTGCAATGCTGATCCTACTAGATAGCAGGAAGGCTGCACATATAAAAAAATCTGCCTTCTTTCTAAAAGGTCCTCTACTGATAACAGACATATCATGATAACTAAGTGGTTGAGCGGATCCCATACATTTTTGCAAGGAATCGGGTCCCAGGGCAGCACTTACGGTTTGCAGTTCTTCAAAGGTCTCCTGGCAGCACTCACAAAATCCCCTCTTCCTCTTGGGCACGGTGACTGGGGTGGATGGGGGGCTCTTTTCTCTCTCACTGCGCATAGGACAACCCTCCACATCCCTGCAAGGCAGCAGCAAAGATCTTTGCCTGGTCACAGTTTACAGGAGAGCTGCAGCAGCAGGCCCCCTGATCCCACACAACGGCCAGGGATACAGTGCTGGTTTTGAGCTGTTTTAACTGAAACAGCAACAGTGGGACCTATAGGCACCAACAGGGCTCCTTTTGCCATCATCCAGAAGACAAAGTGCTTCTCCAAACCCCAGGCAACAGCCAGCATGGGAGTTGGTTAAATTCTTGCACAGAAGTAGCTACAACCTACCTGGCCCTGCAAGAATTCAAGAGACTTTTCAGAGGCTCAAATGGGCTGGAGTTTTTGGGTGCCAGAAAGTTCAGGTCAGGAAAGCTTTTGAACTGGTGATAGAAGGGTCGGAATTGCCTGGAAGAAGCAGATCAGGACATCACTTTTCCAACAGGGACAGCAAGGTTAGAATTGTCATCCTTCCCTCAGACAGGCTCAATGCATTGACTCGTCAATGATGGGACACTGGCCATTGCTGCCTCTGCGTTCGACTGTTCCAGAGATTCCACATTTCTCACTGGGGCAAGAAAGTTTTAAACCTGATTCCTGGTAGGGCATCAAGGCTGGGGACACTGTGAACAGAAGGCAGGCTTGCCTGCTCAGCTGAAACAAACACGTTTCTCCCCCAACGTACATCATGGGCAGGCAGGGCGGTATTTTCAGCTACACAGCAGCACGGGAAAGTTTCGGCTCCCAGATGTCATCCCTCTTCTCTGTGCTTTATTGCACGCAGCATGTAAACTGGTATTTGACCCTGCACCTGCCTTAAGTGTTGTCTTCAGAATAATTAGTGCTCTAGATACTGTTAGAGTTTCAGAGCTAGAAGCACCACGGAGATCAGATCCCCTTTGCACAGGATGCTGTAATCAAGTTACAGGCCCTGACCTCACGCACTTCAGTCCTGTCCCCCATTTCAGAGGACTCAAGCAGATTAAGTGACCTGCCCAGGATCCCACATGGAATCTGAGCAAGGAAGTGAACTCTGTTGCCAAGTTTTGCTTAGAACCTTTCTCCTGACATATGAGCCACCTCGATTACTTCTCTGAACTGCCCTTATCTCCTCTAGAAGAGCATCATCTTCCCGGTGTTTGAAAGGGCCTGCAGAGACGACACACTTTGCTTTGTGGACAAAATATTCACTGTTTCCCATGTAAAGGGCAGAGATGATAAAGAAGCACCTCCAGGAGGGCTCTTGAAATTTTAATATAGCTTGGCTGTGATATTTATAAAAAAAAAAAAAAAAAAAAACTCCTTTACCTGCTCTGGTCTTCAACCTTCAGAAAAGGGAGCTTCAGTTTTCCTGCTGGAAAGACAGTTGGTTAGAATTTACTCCACACAAATACGCTGTCAGTAGTTCCCTATCTGACCAGGGCTGTAGAGCTAAGCCTACGAATATTTCTACCACCTGTGAATGCCAAGTTGTCGGTAAAACACCAGTTAAGACAGAATTCAGAAAACATCCTGAAATTTTGGGTAGAGACCATCATACACCATTGGGTGTAGACCAGCGGCCTCATCTCCAGAGCGTTCGATAAGCTGATCAAACGCTGAGGATAATAAAAATAGTGGGTTGTTGTTTTCACTATTAAACTTGGCAGAAAAAAAACATCCAGGTTCTTCCTCGACCCTCATGCAAAAGCCTGGAGTTCAGAACAGCTCAAAGCAGGACTCATGTCTAGGAAAGTCACAATAGCTAAAAGCTGCTGGAGCCAAACCAATGCACACTTAAGAGGCTGCATAGCCAAGCCTGGTATGAGAATATTGCTAAATAGCACTACTTGGCCTCAGCTTGATCCCTGAGGGGGCAAACAGCAGCCACGCTTCCTACAGAGGAATGTGTTGAGGGAGCTGGAGAAAGCTCAGCCGTGCGCTCGCTGAGGAGGCTTTCAGAGCCAGGCAGGTGAATCCCAGCAGGTGACCGCGCTGGAGAAGACGCTCCCTCCCTCTCGTCAGGCTTGTGCAGCTCATGGTCATGGTCAGCCTTATGGGCAGCCTGGAATCTTAGTGCACACCTTACTTAAAGCAAAAACTAACAACAAAGTCTTTCACACATCAGGATACCATCAATAGGCACCTGCTGACCCTGACACTGGCGCTCTGGTGTCCCCTCATGGCCTCTGAGGGCCAAGGCTGCCTTTCCCTGTAACCCTGCAGCTCCAAGTTGCTGTCTCCAAATTTTAACCTTGATCTCTGGAAAGGCCAAGTCCACCTGCCCCCACTATTTATAGTTCCTGGAGCCTCATCCCGAGCTTGCATCAAATGTACTGCTGCAATGCCGAGGCAGCTATTTAAACACAGGATCAATGTTTCCACATAAATGCTGCCAAGCTCTTGGCACTTCTAAGAGCGAAGCCTCACTTAGGGGCTCAGTATAAAACCAAGGCTGGCATGCAGGTCCAAAGCTCTCATGGCAGAGTGCTCCACTTCTTAAGCCTTTATGTCACTACCTTTACCCCAAACTGGAAAATAATGTTCCAAGCATTACATAAGGAATCCAGGTTAGAGCTCAACCTAAGCTCTGAATTACTGAACTTGATCTCCAATAAACCAAGTCAAACTAGTCAGAAATTGCTTTACACCAACAGAGCAAATTCTAGTACCACAGTTGGCTCTGGTCTAATTGCAGATGAGAACCTGTTTTTCCTCCCTGCCATCCTCCTTTAGAAGTGTGAGCCCTAGATTGGTGTCTCAGCAGTATATTTCAGTCTAACAGAAGTGAGTGGGTTGTGAGGAACATGCTCTCCTCTCTGTGTTTTTATTCAAAACTTAGCTTGAGCCAGTGGATTCGACACACAGTACCAGCAGTGCAGTTCTGAGGCACCTCAGGATTCTGCGAGCTGATCTGTAAACAGTTTGTGGAATTCTTAAAAACAGCCCCAAAAATCAAAGGCATAATGTTCTTGAATGTGTCAGGAGGCTGCAGCTAGGCTCAGACAAGGAGTTACAAAAATCATTCAGAAAAATTGCCTCAACGGTTACCCGACTTTGAAAACCCATGTGAAATGTGAACAAAGCAAACTCTTAATGAGGCTTCTTCAAGCAATTCCGCATTCGAGTGCAAGTGGGAACACAACTTCCAGACCTACCTTTGTGAACTTTTGATCCAGACACAAGGCATTTTGCCTAAAGGAAAGAGGGACACATTTAGTACAGGAGCCAGTGCAGGCAGAGCTGTAATTGCTGATCCCAGAGCAGCAAGTTGGGATCACAGCAGTCTCACCCACCACCCCAGAGCTCCTGCACCACAGACCGCGCCACCTCCCCTAAGACCTAGTCTCCCAGTTAGAGCTGTTTTAAGTCTCCCAGTTAGAGCTGTTTTAAGTCTCCCAGTTAGAGCTGTTTTAAGTGACATACAGATGGCATTTTTAAATCTTATGCCTTGTCAGGGCAATAAAGAAGTTTAGAAAGCCACACTGTAGTTACATATCTTGGTTTTGCCCTCAGTTCCTTCTAAACCAAAATTTAGCATCAGTTGCACTACAGAACAGGTTGATACTAACAGCTACCTCCCTACTTTATAAAAGGGAAAAACCTTTTAATTCTGTATAGTCTACATCAGTGAGCAGAAGCAACACATTATCCGATGTCAAATCAAAACCTAGAAGGCCACTCTGCTTATTAGCCCACAGGGACCTAGAAGATTCCTGGAGTATTGGAGGCAGTTCTGGGCTCCCCAGGACAAGGACATGGAGCTTCTAGGGAGAATCCAGCGGACAGCCACAAAGATGATGAAGGGACTGGAGCATCTATTGAATGAGGAAAGACTAAGAGAGCTGGGCGTGTTTAGTCTGGAGAAGAGAAGACTGAGAGGAGATCTGATCAACATGTTCAAGTACCTGAGGGAATAACGTAGGGAGGATGGGGCCAAACCCTTTGCATTGGTGGCTTGTGACAGAACAAGGGGTAATGGGTGCAAGTTGAAGCACAGGAAGTTCTACCTCCATATGAGGAAGAACTTCTTTCCTGTGAGGGTGACAGAGTCCTGGAACAGGCTGCCCAGAGAGGCTGTGGAGGCTCCTTCTCTGCAGATCTTCCAAACCTGCCTGGATGCCACCCTGTGCCCCATGCTCTGGGTGTCCCTGCTGGAGCAGGGGGTTGGACTGGATGGTCTCTAGAGGTCCCTGCCAACCTCAGCCCTTCTGTGATTCTGTGAGGGTTGGTCAGAGCTGCCGTGGGGTCCGCGAGCTGCAGGTGATCGTTACCTCTGTCCTCTGTCCCCGCTTCCTGGCGGCCGCGATGGTGCTCAGCAGCTGCTGGGCGTAGGACAACATCTCTGTGCAGGGGTGTCAAGAGTCACAGCTGGACGAGACACGGGGAGCAGCTCCTGCCCCCAGGAGCGCGCAGCACCTGAGCCTTTCGCCATCTGGCAGCGCTTCCCAACGACACACTTCCTTCTCCCAAAAGGGAGCCAAGGAAGAGCTTTGAGGGAAGGCTCCCCACTCCACTCTAGCAAAGCAGGAGGCTTGTTTAAGCCTCTGTTAAATTAGACAGTGTTAGGAGTGTAGTAGATGGCACTTGGAAGTTCTGGTCCCAGACCTGCAAAACGGCTGCAATTTCAGAACTGACTGCTCAGGAAGACGCAGGAGCAGCAGCAGCCTCACCACACACCCGGCCAGGTCCAGCCAAGCTGCACGGCCCTGGCAGCAGATACTCGGGAGCCTTTTGCTCCAGCCCTACTATCAGAATCACAACTTCACCATCTGTCTTCCCCTGTCACCCCCTCCCCATTTGCCATGGAGACAGGAAGTTCCTTCCAATGCAGATCCTCAAACATCAGCACTTCCTAATTAAAACAGGCAAATCCTACCATTACTGTTAGTTGCATCTCCAAATCAATTAAAAAGAATTATCTTTCTAGAAGAGATCTATGCACTGACCAAGCTATTAACTTCTCACAGCAGCATAGCTTCAGTATTTTAAAATATACTTAATGATTCCTACTGTATACAGGACAGCATCATGTTCTACATATAAAGAGCTAATCTGGCTTTTGAAGAGCCAGGTAGCTACAGCCAGGAGAGCATCCGTCAAGTACTACACATTCTTCCCAAATTCTTTCTTCTTCCATACAACCCACTCAGCACATCACTTCTGCCCTTCCTGACTGTAAATCACTGATTTACAGGAACCTAAATTCCCGTAATACAGAAGGATACCATCGACGTGCACGATGTGGACTCCCCACAGACGAGCGCTGGCGAGGATACCGCTGCCACCACAGGTGTCCTGAAACAGGAGGGATTGAGACAGGTCCCGCTCAGAAGGATGACTCTGGGAGCATATGCAGCTCTAAATCTGGTTTAATGGGTGCTTTTTTTTCTGTTGCTTAGTTGCCAGACCAACGTGTGTCATTAAAACATGCCTTAAGGCACAGTCAAAATGTTCAAACTCATGCTTTTATGTACCCCAAATCAAGAGAAGCATCTAGTTCATATTTTTTAATTCCTGCCATAACATGAGCTTCCGAGGTGGACACCAAGGTCCTCTTGGCTGCTGTGATATCAGTGTAGAGACTCCTGAGGAGCCTTCTGCCCCCACTACGTGGCTTTAAGTCCTCCCAAGCTAAGGTCACAGTTAGAAGCATTTTTAATGTGAGTAACTCTCGTGCTGAACAACCAGAGCTCTGAGACACGCCGTGGAGGCAGCGAACACGGAAGGATGACACGGTTCTGTGAAGACTAGTGCCTGGAAAGGCTGCATAACACAACAGAGCCACAGGCCACCGTTCCCAACCGCTCCCGGCCCTCGTCTGCCAGGAGCTCTGCAGGACTGGCCGCCTGCACCCTGGCAAAGCTCAGCAGCACTTTGAGCTCATTCAGCCAGACGGAAGACCCACCCATGGGTGCCCACCTGGTTCTTTATGGCTTTCTGCAGCAGCTCCCTTCCTCGGCTGATCAGCACCTGCAGAAGAAAGGAGGTAATGTGCTGGAACCTGGAGCTACCAGGCAGCAGCAGCAAGTGGAGCACAGAGCGCAGCCATCCCTCAGGAACGGCACCTAGAGGGACACCCGCTCTGCCAGAGACAGGAGTCTGGCCAGGACTCTGCCTCAGACAGGACAAGACTCAGGATTTTCAGCGAATAAAAACCCCAAAGGCACCATTGAGGCCCACACTGAGCAGCCAAGGCTCAGGTCCTATTGAACGGCAGTGAGAGCTTTGGTGAGAGCCAAGACACATCTTAGTGTCACGTGCCACACGCCAGGGCTCAGGAACATCCTTGCCAAGCTGATCCCAACAAGAAGGTCCCGTTTTCCTACCTGTGACCTGGTAGATTTTAGCAACAAGGTCAAGGTCTTTGCGAGACAGGCAGATGGCCCCGTGAGGAAGGGCAGGGCAGCACCACGAGCGAAGCCTCCAGCCCAGGCCCAGCCTGCAGAGGTGCCGACAGCCCGCGCTGGGGTAACCAACTCGCCAGCTTCGCTGCTCCCCGCTGCCCCAGGCGCACCAGAACCCTGAATTTTGCACAGGACACTGGACTCTTGGCCACAAGCCTCGCTGACAAGGAACCCAGCTCAGGTTGGTGATCAGGGCCTCCAGAAACCTCTTCTTGCAAGCTGGGCTCATAGCACCCCCTGCCCCCTCAAATTACAATTGCTCCTCTCCATGAGAGCACATCAGCCTGTCGCAGCTCAGAGCCCGTTTTACCTGTTTACAACTCTGGTCTTTTCAGCTGCACCTCTGCAGCAGGACAGATTGCCTGTTCCGCTGGAAAGACGGCCAAGCCTTGTACTTTCTCTGCCATTTAAGTGCCCTTTTACCAGCTCCATCACATGCACTTTGGGGTGGACAGATACAAGGAACATCAATACAAATAGAAGCGGCCAGGCTGGGACAAACACAACGTGGTTGCTCAGGGTAGAAACAGCTCCCTGCTAGCACTGCTCTCAGCTTCTACTCTCTACAGTCGTTGGGTCAAACCCGGAGGTGGCCTAATCACTGACAGCTCTTACGGTGTCTGGTGGCTTCTGCTGCGGTCTGCTATGGCTCCCCATGGAGGCGGACGGCCCCGGGCTCTTGGCTTTGGCACCTTCGGAGGTAACGTTGCTCCACTTCTCAGGCCGAGTCCTGGCCTTGTCCCGTTTGGCCTCTTTGCTGCTGGACACCACATAGGTGACTTCTTTGCTCAGGAAACTTTCGGTCACCTGGAGCAGAGACAGAACAGTGCTAGCTCAAAAACCTTCCGACGGCTCTAGGGCTTGGAAGAGTCCAACTGAGGAAAAAATAAAGCCTTTATTCAGATTGAGCCTTCCTTGACAGGATGCTGTCTCATATCATTTACTCCTCAAACAATTTCACAAAAAAATGGCAGTTTTTCAGACATTCAGTTTCTATCACTTACTTCAGTAGCAAACAGCTTCAGAGAGCCAAGGAGCCAGCACCAACCCCCTTTGATCTGGATGCAAATTTTAACATTAAACAAGTCACCCCTTTCCTGTTCACATTGGAACAGTTTGTCCAGGGCCCTGAGATCACTCCGAGCATCTCCCACTCCTGGGACTGCATCGCTGCCCCTCACAAGTCAGCAAGTCTCTTAATGCTGTGGAAGAAGGTCTTGCAGCAGCAGGGCACTCATCTGGACGCCTGTGATAAATTCCTGCCTATGGGACTGTTCTATTGGAAGGCAGCTCTACTTCTGCCTCACTGAGGTAACCCTTCAGCAAGTGGAACCTTGACAAGGAAGCTGTAGCAGAGGTGGTTATTTATTAATGCAGATGGATCTCTGCTAAGAGCTGTGCAGCTATTTCCCGTTAGAGGAAGGGACCAAGAAAGTTGGCAGGCGAGAAAATGCCCCTGGAAGTGATGCACCTGCGTGGAGGAGCTCCGATGTTGAGAGAACTGGAGAGATTGGCAAGGAAAGCACAAAGCAAACGGCTGGGAAAGCAGCTCCGTGTGGGACAGGGAGCAGAGAACCAGAAAGACACAATCTACACACGCGGCCTTCTGCCAGTGGAGAAAAGCTGGAAGCCCAGAAAAGAGGTGGAAAGTCAAAACGCCTGATTTGGGATAGCAACAATGGGCAGATCAGATGTTCAGGGGAAGGAAACAGCCACGGGCACTAACACAGCAGAAAGGCAGCAGCTGAGCAGCTTGAAAGCAAAGCAGCTGAACAAGCCAGGTGAGTCGCAGAATCCCCATGGATTGAGAGCCCAGGTCCACATGAGCAGCGCGTTACTGGCTGCCCTGCTAAGACTGGGGTCTACACTACAGAGACCTGCACTGCAAGCACAAAGAGGAGGAAGCTCCAGGCTAAAGCTCCAGTGTGTGCCAAGCTTAGGACGTGCCAGGCAGAAGCCACGAGATGCTCCTGACTTTCCCCTGAGGCGTGGGAAGTTTCAGGCACCAGCGCCCAAGAGCCGCTGCGGCCAGCGGACACGGGGTGCTTGAACAGCAGGACTCCCCCGGAGCCAGAGGTGACAGCTCCATCACAGGCGGTTGCATTTAGCGAGGGGAGCAACACAGGGAAGATTTTCATACAATCATGAGGGTTGGAATAAACCTCCAAGGCCACCGAGTGCAACCATAAAGCCATCCCCGCCACCCGGCTAAACCGAAGCGCCTCATCCCCACATTTCCTGACCACTGCCAGGGACGGTCACTCCACCTCTCCCCCGGGAAGCCTGTTCCGATGCTTCCCCACTCTTCCCATGTAGATTTTTTCCTAATATTTAACCTGATCTTGCATTGGTTTGGAGAATTCAGAGGGCTGAAGGAGGCTGCAGGGCAAGCATGAGACAACTTGCCTCAAACTGAGGGAAATCCTAAAGCAGCCCAAGGAACAACAGGGAAGAGTAACAGCTATGGGGGCCCAGTCACACACGCGTTCAGGTGGCTCCAGGTGGCGTTTTTAGGAACACCACGTGGAAAGTCAACAACTAAGCGACAAGAGACCCGGCTGCTCCTCTCAGAAAGATAAAGACGACACTGAGGGCCCTGAGGGGACAACCGAGCAACGGGGAAGAGCG